CATCATGCTACTTTCCCATTTAAGATTTTTGGACTGCATTTGACTGCAGGTTACTGAAATCTCAGAAAATGAGACTGCATATAAGGGGAGACTACTGTATTCTGTTACACAAGTCAAATCTTACTGGTTAACCAACTACCACAAAAACCAACCAAAGAGCAGGTTTCCCAAGAAACACTGAATGTACACTGAACACAGGTATGTTGGACATAACTTCAAATTATTTAATAATTTAGAAGACTCCTCTCTTCTCTACTCTTACTGGAAAATGCTACTGAAGAAAACATAATTCAGTTATCCTAAGGTTCATCTTCAAAATACAGTAAAACTTATGAGAACCAGAATTCAAGGACAGCCTTATTTTCCTGGGTCTCTCAAGTTTTCCACATTTGACAGGATGCAGTCTTCCATTTTTTTATTGCTGTCTAGTAAGGAGCTCTAAGGAGGTCTCGTGGTATAGTGGTGAAGGCATTTGGCTGCTAACCAGAAGGTCAGTGGTTCAAACCCACCAGCTGCTCTGTGGGAGGAAATGGGGCAATTTACTTCTGTAAAGATTTACAGCCATGGAGATCCAATGGGAGGTTGCTATGAGTGAGAATCCACTTGACGGCAGTGGGTTTGGTTTCATTAGTGGAAAATACTTGAGTTTTTCTTCTCTGAGAAGTTTCCACCTTATACAAGTTCCAGCTTCCTCAGGTTTTACTGTACTTTGACATTTGCTGTACTTGAACTACTTCTACTTTTTGGAATTTCCTCACATCCTAATTAATGGACAGAAGGACCAGAAATGTTGACCCTTTGCCCTTTAAATTTGGTACTATCAAAGATTCTGAAGCCACAACTTGCATACTTGGAAAAACCCCCACTATTCTGTCAGGCAAACTAGGTTTCTTTATCACCTGACAGCAGGGCCATCCGCGCTCACTGCCAGGGCTGGCTGACTGGCTAGTGACTTCCTTTCTGGGAAGCTGCACATTCTGGCTTTCTGGCAGCCAGTGCCTCATCCATCCCTGTGCTCACAAAGGATGCTTCAGAAGCCCTGGGATAATTCCAGTGAGCCCACACAGGATGAAGAAGACTGATGAACAAAGGACAGTTTCCTGTCTAAACTTATGATGCCTTTTGAAGCATGTGACTGGTGGCAAAGGGCAAGTTTAAACATAAATGCTTCCAACTTGTTATTCAAGTTACCCTGCTTTATTTCTATTTTTGCCAATTACTATTCTGATGACCTTTTCTAACTACTTCCTGTTTCCTAAGTAAGAAAAATACTTAATACATGAATGAATGAAATATTATGAAATATTATTTGTTAATATATAATTTTTATAATTAAATGGCACATACACCCTTTTAAATGATATTTAATATTTTAAATAATATTTAATTGCTAATAATAATAAAAATATTTAAATACTTTTAAATAGTTGTTAAAGATAATGAATGAACTTCCATTGGATGTCTGAATAACACTTGGAAGAGTAATGGCAAAGTCTTGGGGCTTCCTATGGCAGGATTTCAGGTGAGGCCCAGACTTCCACTAACAGAATCATGTGAAGAGCTTGTTACATTTGGAATCTAAAAGTGAAGACTGTGATGCAAGCAGTTTGTGACCCACTGCTAACCCAAAGGTTGATGGTCTGAACCCACCCAGTGGCTCTATGGAAGAAAGGTCTAGCAAACTGCTTCCATAAAAATTACTGGCAAGAAAATCCTACAGAGCAATTCAACTTTGTAACACATTCACCATCATGAGTCAGAGGTTAATTCAGTGGTGGTGGTGGTGTTGTTGTTATGTGCCGTCGAGTAGGACCCGACTCATAGAGACCTCTCCTTGGGTTTCTGAGGC